GAGTGTCGTTCCTACTACTTAGTAGTAAGTACGTATATATATATATATATATATATATATATATCATGTTCACAAATGCTATCAATTTTCATTGCGGCAAGTTATTTATCAGTGCTCGAACATGAACCTGGTGCTTGAACATGGCGCTATTGAAACGCACAGGTGAACTAAGTATAGCTGAAAAATAAAATAGTGCTCTCATCTACCATGGCACATATAAAAAACCCCATGACTTCGGTACAATACGCCGACGCCACACTATACCATGTGCACATGCGCATAGAATAAGTGGATTGCACCTATTTGTATAGGTAGCTACAGGTGTAAATAGTCCGTGCGTGTATGTTTTCTAGAAAACAAGCAGCATAGGCTCTGTCTATCTACAACAAGTCGTGACCTTGGGAGCCGCAGCAGTGCGTTTATCCAACAAAACAACCATGTACGTTCATCGTTCATAGACTCAACCCAACACACCTGCGTATCCGTTAACGTAAACTCCCGCGCTCCCCCCACAAACACTCCCACGGCACCATCGTGGAACGGTAGTCCCACTACACCACACACAGGCCGTCCGCGCCAAGAGATGCCGATGAGAGTCTGACACGCATATAACCGTCCCTCTACAAACTCCCTTGTACCGTCAACGGGGTCTATGAATACACAAAGATCGTCCAGGGATGCGGCGCCGTATATTGACTCGGGGAGGGATATGGATAAAGGAGGATAGGCCCTCGCGCTCTGAGAGTGCGAGTAAGTCGCGGGGTTGGTCAGGCTTACAGGAGAATGCGATGGTTAAGAAGAAGCATAAAGTAAGCCAATACTTGATCCGTGCACGATTGTAGTTGCTTCTTCCAAAAAACGTAGGTATACTTTGCCGATTCAAAGGCTATTGATACACGTGCGCATACCGTTGACTTCTGTGCTGTAGTTTGGTCGACAGTAGACATGTCCTCTTCTCCAACTATATCCAAATCTGGCCCAAAAGCAGCTACTAAACCATTGACAATCACAGCCTGTGCACGTTTATCGGCAATGGTCAGGTACGACCGAGTGTCCTCGGGATCTTTCAAACTGGCCCCCAAAGCACCTGCACACGGACGAAGGGTGCAAGTTTGTATATATATGACTATATATATATATATATGACTATATATATATATATATGACTATATATATATATATATATATATATATATATATATATATATATATATATATATATATATATATAGTATATATATATATATATATATATATATATATATATATATAT